CCGGGAGGGCCCCGCCCCCCGCAGGGCTGGGAAAGCCACCGTTCATTGTCGACCGGTCCCAGAAGGTCCCGGGTGTGACTGCTCCGTCCCGGAAGACCCCAGCCACACCTAGGCCACCTCGAAAGGCCCCGCAGGCACCAGCCATGTCTAGGTCACCCCAGAAGGCCCCACCCCCATCTCAGAAGCCCCCAGCTGTATCTGGTGTTCCCCAGAAGACTGTGTCTCCCTCAGCCCCAAAAAGGGAGCCTCTGTTCCCATTGGCACTCCCCCAGAAGGCACCAGCCTTGGCTCAGTCCCAGGGGGCACTGGGCTTGCCCACCTCCTGGAGAAAGGGCCCCAGTGAGTTTGAGGTGCTGCCCGTAGCAGTTCCTGGAGGGGACATGCTGGAGAGAAGGGCGTCTGCAGGGAAACTTGAGCCGGAGGTGATGGCGGGCGCCCAGATGACGGGCGTGCTGGAGATGAGGACCCAGACCACGGCCCTGGAGCTGCCCTTCGCCACGACAAAGAAGCTGTCTGAGGAGGTCCTGCTCAGCAAAACCCGGGAGGTCACCCTGGAGGGCTTGAGGGGCAGGGGGAAGTCCGAGGACAGGGCCCGCAGGATGAAGCAGGAAGTATCCCTGGACCTGCCCGGTGGTGGGAAGTCCAAGGAGACGGAGCAGCAGAAGCGATGGGTCACGGCCCAGGAGGTGACCATCGAGGCCCCCCGCCACGAGCACAGCAGGCCCTTCTCCGTGGAGGGGCTTACGCTGGCCAAGATGATGATCATGGCCAACTGCAAAGACCAGCACCTGAGGCCGCCGGCAGTCTCCCTGCCCTCCTGGCTCTCAGTGGCTTCCCAGGCATCCCCGGCGTCTGCGGTGGCCTTGATGCCCTTCAGCCCCAGCCAGCTGTCCTTGCTGGAGGGGACACCAGTGGTGGTCCAGGGACAGCCAGAGTCACGCGGCTGGATGAGGGCGAGCACACGGCAATGGACAGAGAAGGAGGGGCCGCCCCGTGACCCAGTGGGGCCCTCCACGGCGCCTCTCCACGCCATGCCTACTTCCAGCAGGCTGAAGACGGGTGACACCTCCCAGGTGCCTATCCCTTTGCCCGCCTCACGGTGGGAGGATGTGCTGCCACCGCCCCTTCCAGAGACCCCTGCCTCAAGGACGGAGGCCACGGCCAGAACGTCCCGACATCCCACGAAGAAACATCAAGGGCCCATGAGGATGCCCAAGCAGCACCCGCTGGCCACAACGGGGTCATCCGCAGAAATTCCCCTGCCTCAGCTGCTGGAAGTTAAGAGCACAAGGGGCAGAGCCACCAAGGCCGGGATGACAGAGGGGCCGGGAACCTTTAGCCCTTCACACAGGTATTTGGGATTAGCGGCCCTCGGATGCGAGCCCCCTCGGTCTGCACCAACTCGCGCACGTGGTGCATACTGGGTGTCGACGGTGCGCCAGGCCTTGCTCTGGGCAGTAGGGGTGTTCTGACGTGAGGCTTCTAAATGCTGAAGGAGCTGAGAGACTACAGGAGGGGGTGGACACGTTCAGCTTGTCTTGAAAGAGTTGTTTGAGGGACCAGCAGATGGCTTAATGGCTATGTCACTGGACTCCCTTGTAGTCGACCGTGGTTCGAGTCCTGGACCTAGAACTCATACCAAATGCGTGTGCGTGCGTGCCCAAAACCCAGAGAGGAGAATGGAGGAAAGAGATTGGCATGGCCATCCCCCTGGGGGTGATTTCTCATTTTCCCTCTCTCTACCTCTCACCTCCCAGGTGCCTATCCCTTTGCCCGCCTCACGGTGGGAGGATGTGCTGCCACCGCCCCTTCCAGAGACCCCTGCCTCAAGGACGGAGGCCACGGCCAGAACGTCCCGACATCCCACGAAGAAACATCAAGGGCCCATGAGGATGCCCAAGCAGCACCCGCTGGCCACAACGGGGTCATCCGCAGAAATTCCCCTGCCTCAGCTGCTGGAAGTTAAGAGCACAAGGGGCAGAGCCACCAAGGCCGGGATGACAGAGGGGCCGGGAACCTTTAGCCCTTCACACAGGTATTTGGGATTAGCGGCCCTCGGATGCGAGCCCCCTCGGTCTGCACCAACTCGCGCACGTGGTGCATACTGGGTGTCGACGGTGCGCCAGGCCTTGCTCTGGGCAGTAGGGGTGTTCTGACGTGAGGCTTCTAAATGCTGAAGGAGCTGAGAGACTACAGGAGGGGGTGGACACGTTCAGCTTGTCTTGAAAGAGTTGTTTGAGGGACCAGCAGATGGCTTAATGGCTATGTCACTGGACTCCCTTGTAGTCGACCGTGGTTCGAGTCCTGGACCTAGAACTCATACCAAATGCGTGTGCGTGCGTGCCCAAAACCCAGAGAGGAGAATGGAGGAAAGAGATTGGCATGGCCATCCCCCTGGGGGTGATTTCTCATTTTCCCTCTCTCTACCTCTCTCCAGTGAGTTCATGCACCCTATGGCAAAAATAATCTTTAAAAAAGAAGTTTATTGAGGAACAAAGCAAAGTCTTGGGTGGCCGCAAGTTGAGCCGGTTCCCACACCCCCACCCCAGGCCTGTGTGTATGCAGGTGGTCAGGAGGGAGGAGGGGAGGACCCGCAGGGAGGTGAGTGAGGCACACACAGCACAGCAGAGACGTGGGTGTCGGCACCTCACCTGTGGTCGGGCCTCTGCCTGGACGAGGATAAGGGCTCTACCCGCTGCAACCCCTCGGGCTCCATTCCAGCTTTGGGGATGCAGTTAAGGAGCCTGTCAGTCAAGGTGGCCAATTAGCTTAAAAATGGAGTCTCTTGGATTGCACCTATGGGCGGGGCAGTGTGGGCTGTGCTACTGGCTTCTAGCAGGCCACCGCAGCCCAGGGGCCTAGGTGGCCCCGGGAGCTGGAGTCCTCTGTGTCAAGACCTGAAGGCCCAGATGGACTGAGTCCTGAGGACATATGGGGAAAAGCATTGTTGCAGAAGGAACAGCCAGTGCCAAGTCCCCAAGGCAGGCATGTGCACGAGTGCTGGGCCAAGAGTGAGCTCCAAGGAGTCCAGAGTAGATGTGGTCAGGGAAGCCGTGGGGGGAGTACCGGAAAGGTGGCCTCTCCTGCTCTCTGTCTCTCTCCAGCAAGTGCACGCACCCTATGGCAAAAATCTAAAAACAAACAAAATATAGGAAGAAAGAACTATGTGTTCTTTGCATCAAAATATACTCCTTGATAAAAGAATTCCAGGGGCCCACAGGTGGCATGGTGGTTAAGGTGCTGGACTCCCATGTGGCCGACTGTGATTCGAGTTCCGGACCTAGCGGCTTGCTTTCTTTCTCTCTCTCTGTCCCTCTCTGGTCAAATTAAAATAAATAAATATGGGGGCTGGCAGGTGGCATGGTGGTAAAAGTGCTGGACTCCCCACGTGTCCGACCATGGTTTGAGTCCTGGGCCTGGCGGCTTGCTTTCTCACTTCCTCTGTCTCTCTCGTTCTGTCCCTCTCTGGTCAAATTAAAATAAATAAAATAAAATAAAGTTCAATAAAATAATTTTTTAAAATAAAAAGTTAAATAAAATAATGTTTTGAAAAAAAACAAAAAAACTGCAGAGGGCATGTACACTCACTGGAAAGAGAGAGCGAGAAAGCACCTCACAGTCGTCTCCAGCCCCTCTCAGGACCGGGCTGCACGATGCAGGCGTTCTCAGCATGTTTCTCAAGTCACGGGGCCCAGGAAGTAAAACAGCCTTGTAGCATCCACCATGCCACGGCCAACCCTAAACTTGTAGTTTTTTTTTTTTTTAATTTTTTGAGAGATTTTTCTCATAGGGCACATGCGCTCACCAGAAAGACAGAGACAGACAGACAGAAAGCGAGCAATCCCCCCCACCCCCCGGGGGGGATGGCCATGCCGCAATCCCTTCTCTTTCATTCTCCTCTCGGGATCTTGGGCACGCATGCACACACGCCTGGCGTGAGTTTAAGCCACCAAGTCCGGGACTCGAACCACAGTCGACTACATGGGAGTCCAGCGACATAGCCATTATGCTAACTGCCGGCCCCTTCCATACATTTCTTGAAGTCCCCTGGCACATGTCTACATCAGGAAGAGAAGGACTGGAGGCAAGGAGTAAGACAGCTCTTTTGAAGTAGTCTGGGGTCCAGAGGGAGAGACTGGGGCCAGCTGGTGCCAGCGGCTGCAGAGGGCCTCTTACTGTGGTGGCTGGAGTGACCGCAGTCAGGCCGACTTGGAACTGGCAGTGCTTGCCTGGCCCTAGACCCGGGCTCGCTCACTCCGCAGGGATTCAGCCCGCATTTACTTCTGCTGGGCTCTGCCCTGAGCAGAGATCAGTGAGCTGAACGCCCGGCAGGCCCTGCCCTCTGAGATGTGAGCTGGTCCCTGGAACACTGGGCTGCAGCTACTATAGCCCTGGGTGTCTGTCGCCCTGATTGTCCCCAAAGCCCTCTCTGGCTCCCTTTCTCCTCCAGCACGCAGCGTCAGCGCTTTCAGTAGGAGGATGCTGGAGACTCGACCTCAGTCTGCAAACTGTCCCAAAGAGCCCTACGTGGCCAGGTATCTGAGACCCTGAGGCCTGCCTTAGACCTGGCGGGGGGTTGAAAAGGTGTCCCAGGCGCCAGACCCCACTCTCCTCTTTTCTCATCCCCACAGGCCCCAGGGTGCTGTGCGCCCTGGCTGTAGGGGCAGAGTGCTGAAAAGGCGGTTGCGGGGCCTCTCCCACAGAGAACAGAGATATCTATACGTTTATATATGGGGGCGGGGGGAGCCAGCGGAGCAGCACGCTCCGCAGATATTAAAAGCCTGAGTCTGAGACACGCCTCGGTGCCTGTGTGCGTGCGTGCGTGCGTGCGTGGGCCCCGAGAGGTCGG